AGCGCGCCTGCCGCTGCCATCCCAGGGGAGGAGGGCAGGTCCTTGTGCAGGAGGGTGGACATGATGGTGGATTTCGAGCAGACTGGCTGGGGCAGCTGGATTGTCTACCCCAAAAAGTACAACGCCTACCGGTGCGAAGGGCAGTGTCCAACGCCCGTGGATGAGACCTTCAAGCCCACCAACCACGCTTACATACAGGTAAGAGGGGTTTGGTGCCTCCGCTCTCCCCGTGCACCCCAGCCCTGCCAGCCCGTGGCAGTGGGTGATGCTTTGCCCTTCCCCTGTCTCCCCACAGAGTTTGCTGCAGCTCTACAAGCCCAACCAGGTGCCCTGCCCCGCCTGCTCCCCGGTCAGGATGAGTCCCCTCTCCATGCTTTACTACGAGAAGGGCGAAATCGTCGTCCGCCACCATGAGGACATGATCATCGAGGAGTGTGGCTGCAACTGAGGCCAGCTCGTCCGCTGCCAGGAAGGGGCACATTCCTTGTCCCCAGGGACTGGCCGCCCAACCCACGACCAACGTGCAGACTGGGGCATCACTCAGCCCCCATCACCTCGAATCTCATGTGCCCGTGGGTTGGTGAAGCTCTGGCTGTGCCAGGGGAGGAGGAGTGGGGTGTCTGGGTGTCAGCAGCTCTGCAGCACTGTGCGGCTGCGGGGCATGGGCAGATCCGGACTACGCACGGGGAAGGACATCAGACACCTCCCTGCAGCGCCGAGGTGGTGGGTGCCCGATGGCCACATTTAGCCAGGAGCTATGGCACTGGTGGCCAGCGTGTGCTGGGACAGTCGAGGGCTGGTGTTGCTCCACAGAGGCAGGATCTGGGGCGCAGGGCTGGACCCGCATCAGTTCCTGCCACGACGCGCTGCCCACGATGAAGCTCCTTCTGCCCACGATAGGTATCGCCAGCAGCTGTGGCCTCTCAGCAGGACACTGCAGCTCCGGTGTGCAGCCATGCCGAGCATCTGTGCCGTTGGGATTTTCAATCTCGCCCAGGGTTTAGGCATTTCTTTTACGATTTCTATTATATTTCTATTAAAACTCCATCAGATTTCTATTACAATTAAGCCACGTTAACGTCTCAGCCCTATGTCTAGAGCCCCGAGCTGGCAGCACCACGTGGGCAGCAGCAGGCAGGGGTTTGTCACAGGCCACTCCTGCCCTGAGCCATGGGGCTGAGCATCCCAGGAGGGATGGAAGCAGGAGGAACTGGCTGGCAGCGGGCAGAGAGGCAGTGACCTCCATCACACACGCTCCTTGCCCAAGACCACGCAGGGAGTGGTGCAAAAGACGGACCTGGCGCTCCTGCATCCCTCTCCAAAGCATCATCTGTTCACCAGGAGCCAGAGAGGGTTTGCACAGGCAAACGAGGTGCCCCTGGCAATAAGGCAGCCCCGCAGTGGGTCTCAGTGGGTCTGAGCCCCCCATTCCCAGCCCTCCTACCTGCCCTGACCATCTCAGCCCACACACCACTTTCCTCTGTAAAATCACACGTTGCTCGAACCTTTTCCACCACTCGCTGGATGGGGCGGTAGCGAAAGGGTCCTGGTTGTGTAATTCGCCAATAAATTATATGTATTAAAAAGTGCCTGGTAGATTTGGCTGATTTCCACAGCCCATTTTTGCTGTTGAATGGTCTCACTGAGCATCTGCTGCACCCAGAAGCTCTCCCTGCTCCGTTATCCTAACTTGCTAAAACCAGGGGGTCCCCTTGAACGGTGCAGAAGATGCTCAACAACTCTGTGAACGGGAAAGTCAGCGTGAGATAACGAAGCTGTTCCCACCCTGATAGAGGGTTGCTCAAGAGCAAGCGGGAAAGCACCTGCAAGCCTCAAAGGGAAGGGCTAAAGGGATTTTCCATCTTTATTTACCCCTTGGAGATAAGGGGAAGGACTGTGTTCCCTTAATTGAGATGATTTTAAGCCATACACAGCAGCTGGTGCAGGCGGCTCTGTTTTGGGTCACCCACCCAAAGGGGCGATGGGACTGGGAGCTGGAGCGGGACAGCAAGCACAGGTATAGGCTGGGTGGAGAATGGATGGAGAGCAGCCCTGAGGAGAAGGACTTGGGAGTGTTGGTTGATGAGAAGCTCAACATGGGCCGGCCCTGTGCGCTGGCAGCCCAGAAAGCCAACCATGTCCTGGGCTGCATCCAAAGCAGCGTGGGCAGCAGGGTGAGGGGGAGATTCTGCCCCTCTGCTCTGCTCTCATGAGACCCCCCTGCAGTGCTGCGTTCAGCTCTGGGGTCCCCAACACAAGGACATGGAGCTGCTGGAGCGGGGCCAGAGGAGGCCACGGAGATGATCCGAGGGCTGGAGCACCTCTGCTATGGAGACAGTCTGGGAGAGTTGGGGCTGTTCAGCCTGGAGAAGAGAAGGCTCTGGGGAGACCTTCCAGCACCTCCCAGTACCTAAAGGGCTACAAGAAAGCTGGAGAGGGGCTTTGGACAAGGGCATGTAGTGACAGGACAAGGGGCAACGGCTTCAAACTGAAAGAGGGGAGATTTCAATTAGATCCAAAGAAGAAATTCTTGACTCTGAGGGTGGTGAGGCACTGGCACAGGTTGCCCAGAGAAGCTGTGGCTGCCCCATCCCTGGAGGTGTTCCAGGCCAGGTTGGATGAGG